CAGCATTTACTGGCTCGTTTGAATGTCGCGGGTAATATTCCTGTCTCTACTTCCCTCTACTAAAGAGAGAGAGAGAGAGAGAGAGAGAGAGAGAGACTGCGCCACACTGCGTCCGTTGAATAAAAACGGGGGACTTAACGTTGCGTTAGTTTAGAAGCTGTTGGAGAGCGAAGCGGAGTCGTGACTTGTGCTCTCTCTCGCTACTTGAAAGCGGTAATACAAGGGGTGGTTACGGTTTCTGACTCGGCTGCGGCGGGTACGCGCATGAATATTTTACAAAAATGCATGCTTCAAAGAACCTAGTCATCCCCTATTCACGGTTGCTCGAATTTGCAGTGGCACACGGTACACGCCGCGCCGCGCCGCGCGTCCTTTGCTTGTTTTACAACTAGTATTGTGTGTTCTCCTTGAGCGTCCCGTTCGATGCGTCCCGTCGTTCCTATAGCTGAGACGAAGATTGCAAACTTTCCTGGAGAATTAAATCTCACTGTGGTAACAGTTTCATTTGCATAGTCTTTGGATAATCGAACGGACCGTCGCAGGCAAATATCGCTTCCTCGAAACACCACAAGTGTTTATTGCGTTGCCTGCGACACTTTGTCCCTAGGACCAGACCCTGCCATAAATCCTGGAGTCTCCGAAGGGAAAAATAGAACCAACGTCGATGGGCCAGTTGACTTTAACAAAGCCTAGAAAAGCGGAGATCCCACAGAATTCCCACGCATCCGTCCACCGAACACTTTCTCCGGTCGTTGTCTACCCCGTCCTAAGATAACGCGCTAGGGGCGAAATGGAGGGAGGTTGCGATGCACCGGAGTAAACTGATTGGTGATTTAGAAAAGGAAAAATCAGCAATCAGGGTGTTTTTAGGAAAATAGGAGTCTTCGTCGAGGGAAACCGCAGGGACTCCAGCAGAAACACCTCTCACTTGGCAGTAGATTTTATACCTAGAACTAGTTGTAGAAAATAGAAGATAAAATAAAAACTTGGTGTTTCAATCAAGAAACTGGTCCTTCGTAGCCTTAGACCATAGACGATCGAAAGATCAACCGCAAGCCCTAACACTAATGCACATTTCATGTGAAAATTTCACTGTTAACAATTTCGTTTGCACACTGGACATTTTTTACTCTTATGGGGAATCAGGAAAATTTGTTGAAATACTTTAGGCAATAATTATTATTGAGGCTTTCGGGTGAAAGCCGTGGCCTTTGCACAAGCACATTCGGAAATTTATATTAATATGTAAATTAATATTTTCTGTCCTTGTGGAGAAAGTACTCCTAAAAAATTTATGGAAGTATTCCTTATGGAATATTTTTTCCCTAAGAAATGATCGATAATCGAACATCGTTCCTAATTTTTATCGGACCACAGTTTATCAACATTTCCACTGTCAGCTGTATCCTCCGCGTTTCAACGTCTTTTACCATAGTTAAGGTGCAGATAAGTCGTGAGAAACTTGTAAATGAAGATCGATAAACATTATCTAAGAGCGTACAGGCTTGGCCATTCTTTCGAAGGCGGGATAAAGTTTCCCCGAGACTTTCGTTGCCCCTGGAAACTTCTAAACGTATCAACCGATAACAAAGCGATTCCTAAGCAACGTACGCCGTTAACTTTCCTCTCGAAATGAACTTTCATCTGGTGAACGCGACTGAAATTCCTCCCAACGGCCACGGGAATTGGCGAAATCGTCGATTGTACGATTAAACGATTCCAACTACTCTCGTTAATCATGGGAGTTCTCCTTATCTCGAACGTGGAACAGGCGTGAAACGCTGCGTTTTCAACGAATCACCGGAGATTTATTTTTACGCGCTCCTTCCCGATACGTCACACGACTTAATCGTAAATTGTTCGCGCCCGTCAGTCTTTCAACGCCCAGCCAGACAGGACATTTATTCTCCCGCCCCTACGTGGCCCATGATTCACGATCGCGGTTCGATTTCTTCGATCGCGATGCCACATTAATCGACTCCTTTCAACAACTATTAGCTATCACCTACCTTTCACCCGCCAGTCCAAGCCTGCGGTGGAAAATTAGATATCTCGAACTGTAGAACGAAGCTGCATCGCCTTCCGAGTATCCAATCCAGCAGAGATGTTTCACTGTTCAATCCTGGTGTATATCCTCCGTTATGGTTGCACAAAACTTGGAAAACTAACACTTTTGTATAAAGCACAATGAACAACGCGATCACTTGATTTCGAAGATCGAGGTTAGGTTGCGTTGTCGCTGCATTTATCGAGGTTGCAGCTAAGAATTATCACTGATTCACTTATTCCAGGTATTTGGGGCTCGTACCGGCACTCACTATGGTACACAGACACTAAACTCGGATGTAACTAAACGATAATTAGTCTAAATTTAATTACACAACCGGAATAGAGAGGCGACGCGATGCTGTTCAAAACGTGCGGGAATTTCTATTGCCTATTTAGGCGAGGCGAGCTCTGATTGGCTGCTGCGTAGCCAATATGCGCAGAGTGCTCGGTCTATCGATATTTATCATTGGGTGGCAAATAAGAATATTTACCGATTTATCTATTACACGTATTCGTTACTCGTACTTGTACCAACTATGCTACATTCACATTAACTAGTAATCTAACTAAATTATAATTAGTATAACTTTAAATAAATAGACTTAGAGGGACAAGTGTCGCGGCACTGTTCGAAATGTGCGCGAATTTTTATTGCAACCTTTAGGCGAGGCGAGCTCTGATTGGCTGCTGCGTAATTCGTTTAGCCAATGCGCGCGAAGCGAATCGATATTTATCCAAACATCGATTCTGCGGCAGCAGTTTCATGGCGTC